GCAATAAACTGTTTATATGTATTTACATGCAATATAATGTCCAGTCAAACTGTAATAATTCTACCTAATAAAACTGAAACAGGAAAATAAATAGGTCAGAAAAAAAAAAAAGAAGAGAGCGAGAACTCTCATGTACTTCTCATAAAAATCCGTTAGGAAATGTGTTCCAACCCATAAGACCAAATTCTATTTTTCTATTGCAGACAAACCCAAGTAACCAAATTAATTTTCTGTAGATAGATCATCTTTTTTCCCCCCCATTTTTCAACGAACATGTAGGTTTCAATCACTGTAAGAGTTAAAGATACAGAAATAAATAAGACACAGTCCTCTGCTCACTTTTGCAGGCGAGGCAGACAGAACTAAATCAAATTCAGTATGAGAAGTGGGATAAAGGAGGCTGTGAGTGCATCGGGGTGAGCATGCACCAGGAGGCACTGTCCCAGGGTTTCGAAGAAGGCTTTAGAGGGCTGGGCCTTGACAGGTTAGTAGGAGTTTGTTAGCTGAGGAAGGGAAAGAAAGGTATTTTGAGAAAAGAGAAAAGAGGGGCAGAGGCATGGAGGCAAGAGGCCGCATATTTTGATGGTGGAGTTTGAGGAGTCTCGTGGACCCTGGGAGGAAGAATGACTTTACAAAGAAACGAACGTCTAGACTGAAGCATGAAGGCTGGTTATGACGCTTCTTTAAATATCAAACTTAGTTTATAGGTTATGCTTATCTGACATTAATGCTTAAAAATTGTGTGGGGTGGCTTATTAAAAATGCAAATTCCAGGGCCCCACTGTTTCAGGAAGCCTGGGTTGGTGCCCTGGAATCTGAATTTTCATAGCCCAGGGGATTCTGGGGCAGATGGGTCAAGGGTCACGATTTGAAAAGCACTACTGTTTGCACTAGGGAGCCATTAACAGTTTCAGTGCAGGGCTAGGGTGGATGAGACCTCAACTGCGTTTTAGAAAGTTGACCCTGGTCACATTCTACCAGCTGGGTGGAAGTGGGCAACGGATGGAGCAAAGAAGCCAGTAGGGGGTTGTTGAAATAGTAATGGCTGAAGGAAAGAATGGATTCCAGAGACATTTCAGAGAAGACTGGGCAGGCCCCCATTCCCGTGAAGGGGAAGAGGGATGGAGGAGTCGGTGGCCTGAGCTTTCCATCTGATGAGACTGTGTAGATAAACTGCTAATGACTGAGATCAGGGCGGCGGCTGGGAGAGCAAGAAAACAAGGAATTCGCTTCGTCATGCACTGATGGTGAGGCCCGGGGAGGCCAACCCGGAGGCTGGGTTCCGGGCACGCTTGCCGGTGCGTTCTCTGCTCCCAGAGGGCTACATCTTTTAATAAGCAGAATCTCATAAAACAAAGAATAATGGACACACATATGAGACCTTTAGAACATTATTCATTACTGTGCACTTGCCTGATCATAAATTTCAAATGCAGAAGTCACCTAAGATCACATGCTCCTCTTCTATTCCCATGTGCCTGGCCTAGATCAGTCTTAGGATCAGTCTCATTTCTTTTTCTCCTTGCTCCCTACACCAATCTATCCTTCCCACACTCTCACACTGCCATCCCTTCCTTTTCTAACACCCCCTTCACCACTCCAGTGTTATTCATTAATTACCTCCATAGCCATGGGATTCCTCTTTATGCAGTTAAAATGATCTCTCTCCCATTAAACCGCAGCCTCCTCCAAGACAAAACTTTATTATACATGTCTGGGTCGCCAGCACTTGGCATAGCCATTCAATAAATACTGATTGAATAATTCCAAGAAACAAAGCCATCACAGTGGTCCTGAGAATGCACCCTGGTTGCTGGTGAAAGAAAACCACCATCTTGAGCCTAGGCCATCACAGTTAATAAAAAGTCCTTGAATGGTTAGCATAACTCGTAAATTGCATACTTGGGCAGATTTTGATCACGATGCGGTTAGAAAGCAAGTAAAAATCCCATTAAAACTCAGTCTCATTAAAAACTACAATAACCATCGAAATTGATTTGTTATAGTGTGGTTGTATTTAAACAAATACATTGCTAAAAATCACATTCCCAGCTTTACCAGACCAAAGGGAATTTCAGTCCCTCAAACGAAATAGCAGATGCAAGAAGAGGCTGGAACACAGCTGGTCCTACCTGCTCACCACCCTGCAAACCCTTTCTTCCTCCAGCCCCTTGGCCATTTGCATGCTGTGCGTCTCTGTAGGTGGATGACTAGGATGTTCCAGGTTGGGAAGGATAAGGAGAGTTAGAAGGGTGATTGCTGCTAGCGGGCAAACAGTCACGCTCTGAAAGCAGTGAAGACGAGCGGAAGTAATTGCACAGCAGGATTAACCACTGTGGGTAACTTGTCTCTCTGCCGACCCAGTTCTGGTACCACAGGCTCCATTTTCATGCAGCCCCGTTCCTAGACAGCAGTCATAGTTGCATTTATGCACGTTTACCCAGCAGTGGCTCTCTGCAGTGGAAGAAAACTGCATCCTAACAGCCCTCTGAGCCCCCGACGTGGTCGGTAACACAGCAACACAGCACAGGAAGCCCCACCACGCGCTTGAGAACAGATGTAAGTCCAGTAACGGTGGCATCAGACAGGAAGCACTATTGGCAACATCACAGAAGCATCTTCCAGCCCCTCTTCCCTCTCATTCCCTGCAAGTCCTACGGAGAAAGCCGCAAGGTGGAGGGTAAAAACGTCATTGCGTAGGACTTCCGGATCCAAAGCATCTTTCCACTGGTGTTCATTGAGGAGAATTTGGAAAATTCAGCGGGGAAAAAATTCACACATAAAACCACTACTCAAAATTAACCTGATTTAACATTTTGGGGTATTTCCTTTTAGTCTTGTTTCTACATCTCACACACACTCTCTTTTAAATTTGAGATTGCAATTTATAATCTGTTGTGGTTGCCTGTTTTTTTTTTTTCAATAGGACAGTATGATACTCAATACCATATTGCAAACATTTTTTCTGTCAGCATATAGTTTTTTAAAAAAGTGTATCATGCTTTTTAAAATGTTTG